TCCTGGAGCCTTGGTTTTTGCCAGTGCCTTGAGTGCAGCTTGGATATCTTCTTTTAGTACTGTTGGTTTTGATCATGTACTACCTCCTGAAATGTTTGAACATTGGCCAGTTCTTTTTGGTACAATGACTGTCTGTATTCCTTTCATCTTCTTTTGATGCTTCCTGCGTCATTTAATATTTTCTGCATAGAATCCTTCAATATTGCAACTAGAGGCTTGAATTTTTTCTTCAGTTCTTTCAGCTTGAGAAATGCTGAGTGTTTTCTCTTTAGATTTTCTATCTCCAGGTCTTTGCACATGTCATTAGAATACTTTAGTTTGTCTTCTCAAGCCACCCATTAAAATCTTCTGGTAAGCTCTTTCACTTCATCATTTCTTCCTTTTGCTTTAGCTACTCTACATTCAAGGGCAACTTTCAGAGTCTCTTCAGACATCCATTTTGATCTTTTCTTTCTTTCCTGTCTTTTTAATGACCTCTTATTTTCTTCATGTATGATGTCCTTGATGTCATTCCACAACTCATCTGGTCTTCAGTCATTAATGTTTAGTGTAGCAAATCTATCCTTTAGATGGTCTCTAAATTGAGGTGTGATATACTCAAAGTTAATCTTTGGCTCTTGTGGACTTGTTCTAATTTTCTTCAACTTCGACTTGAACTTGCATATGAGCAATTGATAGTCTGTTCCATAGTCAGCTCCTGTTCTTGTTCTGACTGTTGATGTTAGTTTGTCGTACTGTGGTGGCTTGCGTGTTACTGTGATACTGGAAGATTTGCCACTAGTATTTCAAATACCAACAGAGTCACCCTTGGTGAACAGGTTTCAGAGGAGCTTCCAGACTAAAACAGAGTAGGAAGAAGGACCTAGTAGTCTACTTCTGAAAAAAAAATAGCCAGTGAAAACCTTATGAATAGCAGTGGAACATTGTCTGATATAGTGCCAGAAGATGAGTCCTTCCGGTTTGCAGGCACTCAAAATACAACTGAGGAGGAGCTGCCTCCTCAAAGTAGAGTCGACTTTAATGACATGGATGGGAGTCAAGCTTTTAGGGCCTTCATTTGCTGACATGGCATGATTCAAAATGAGAAGAAACAGCTGCAAACATCCATTAATAGTTGGAATGTGGATTGTACGAAGTATGAATCTAGGAAAATTGGAAGTTGTCAAAAATGAAATGGAATGCATGAAGATCGATATCCTAGGCGTTAGTGAACTGAAATGGACTGGTATTGGCCATTTCAAATCAAGACAATCTTATGGTCTACTATACTGGGAATGACAAGTTGAAGAGGAATGATGTCACGTTCATGGTCGAGAAGACTATTTCACAATCTATCTTGAAGTACAGCACTGTCAGTGATAGCATAATATCCATACGCCTACAAGGAAGACCAGTTAATACAACTATTATTCAAATTTACGCACCAGCCACTAAGGCCAAAGATGAAGAAATTGAAGATTTTACCAACTTCTGCTGTCTGAAATTGATCAAATGTGCAGTCAAGATGTATAGATAATTAATGACAATTGGAACGCAGAAGTTGGAAACAAAGAAGAAGGATTGGTAGTTGGAAAATATGTCCTTGGTGATAGAAACAACACCGGAGATGGCATAATAGAATTTTGCAAGATCAATGACTTATTTATTGCACATACCTTTTTTCAACATAAATGGCGACTATGCACATGGACCTCACCAGATGGAATATATAGGAATCAAATTGACTGCATTCATGGAAAGATATGATGGAAAAGCTCAATATCATCAGTCAGAAATCTATATGTGTGTTAAAATTCATGAAACTGTACCCTAAAAGGAAAAAAGTCAGTGTTACTGTATGATAATTGAAAACATAAAATAGGATCCTACTACCCCTAAAGTTTCTTTGCCTTGATTCCTGGTCATGAGGTACCCTGGTTCTTCTTCAGCCCTTTCTCTGAAAGGTAGATTAAACCCTTGCTTTGGGATCTCCTGGAAGAAAGGTTATAGGACCAAATCAGGGATGTGGGACCCTGGGGGAAGAGAGGAGAGCATCTTGTGGAAATAAAATTTATCTGCTACAGTTGGAGATGTATATATTTGAATCATTAGAAGTGAATGCTGTGGGGCACACTATACTTTATTGTATAACTGCTGGTCTAACACTGACTTCTAATTGTATAACTGCTGGTCTAATACTAACTTCCTCGTTATTAGTTTTGTATGCAGTAAAAATTACATGTAGGGCAAACAGGATATATTCCCAAAGCTAAATGGTTTAATAATTGATGAGCTTTTTGGGTCTTTCCTTTTCGGGTCAACCCAATAAAATTAAGTCACTTCTGACCTTATGTATCTTGTTATATTTATGGCCTTGCTTGGTACAGTGGTAACTGAAACTTACATGAATTTTTCGTATTTTAGAAATTATATTGGAATTTCAGATTATATCATTTCTAAATTTTGTACTAGGAGATGTATAGGTTTTTTTTTTTTTTTTTTTTAAATTACCCTTTTCACCATTAGAGGTAGGGAACTTCTTCATAAAGTACATATATTGATTTTTGGATGCTATGTCAATATTTATTTTTAAGATTTTTAAAATTAACTCAAAAGAATATTAAATAGGTGAGCATCCAATGTTATTTATAGTACCTTTAAAAGAGATGTGATTATAAGAAACTCTATTATGCTGGGTTTATATCTGTTTATAGTATCAATGGTTTGGAAGCTATATTTGCTATTATTGTTTTTACAGTTCCTTGGTTAAAATTTTAACATATATATTTAACTTAAAAATTAATCTATATACCAAAGTCTTCCTCACTAATAATACAAAACCCTTTAAATGCTTTAATTTTGGCTTCTTCCTTCCAGTTTTCTAGGTTACTGCTGTTAAAGTATAAAATATTTATAGATTCTGAAAATTAATCATTTTTTAAATACTTACATTTTATAGATATGCTAACATGTTTCTCAGTTGCTTTACTTACTGTTGTGTATTTCACTCTACTTTTTTCTGTGTTTGATTTTATTTTCTTCTTCAAAATACACAGTTAAATGGTTCTTTCAGTGAGTGCTTTTGATTAATAAATTCCTCACCTTTGACTGAAAAGTCTGTATTTTGCCCTTATTCTTAAACTGTCGTTTAACTTCTTACAGACTTGTAGTTTGACAATTGTTTTCCTTCAGCATGCTGAAGATAATATTCTACTCTCTTCTAGTACTTATTTTTTCTGATGAGAAATCTGCTGCCAGTCAATTTTTATTACTTTGTAAGTAATCTATTTCTCTCTGTCTTGACTTTGTTCACTGGTATCAGCATGCTGTGTCTAGCGGTGTACTTGTTTTACTGATCTTCCCAGGACTCGTCATCTAAGAACTCATGTATTTCTTTAATTCTGGAAAATAATCAGCCATTATTTCTTATATCCATTCTCTTTATTCTCTCCTGAAATACCTGCTGTCTTAGTTATCTAGTGCTGCTGTAACAGAAATACCACAAGTGAGTGGCTTTAAGAAAGAGAAATTTATTCTTTCACAGTCTAGGAGGCTAGAAGTCCGAATTCAGGGTGCTAGCGCCAGGGGAAGTCTTTCTCTTTTTTGTCGATTCTGGGGGAAGGTCCTTGTCATCAATCTTCCCTGGTCAAGGAGCTTGTCAGTGCAGGGACCCTGGGTCCAAAGGCCGTGCTATTCTCCTGGCTTTTGTTTCTTGGTAGTATGAGGTCCCCATGTGTCTTTGCTTACTTCTCTCTTTTATATCTCAAAATAGATTGATTTCAAATACAACCTAATCTTGTAGATTGAGTTCTGCCTCATTAACATAACTGCCACCAGTCCTACCTCATTAACATTATAGAGGTGGCATTTACAACACATAGGAAAATCACATCAGCTAACAAAATGGTGGACAGTCACACAATACTGGCAATCATGGACTAGCCAAGTTGACACACGTTTTTTTTGGGGACATTATTCAGTCCATAACACCCACTAATCATGTATTTGAACATTTTCCTTTTTCTTTGCTTACATGCTTCTTACCTTTTTATGTTTTCATATTTTATATATTTTTTGGGCTACAGTTCTGTGTAGTTTCCTTTGATCTCTCTTCCAGTTAATTCATTCCGTTCAGAGAGAAGGTTTTTGAAGTTTAAAATTTTTATTTCTTTTCTAATTGGCACATTTTTATACAGTCTTGTTCTTCTCCATGTAATTTATATTCTGTCCTTTATTTTTTCAAATATTTTAAACATACACATTTAAAGGCACTTTCAGATTGTTCTGTTGTTTCTAGTTTTTCACATGTAAATTCTTTCATTTAGTGAGATTGATGACTTGCTCATGTGGTTTGTTCAGTTTTATTTTAAGGTGGTTTTGTCCCAGGTCTCAAGATATAGAAAATGTCTAGAAGGTAGTCTCACATTTTCTTCTCTGTGGGTTTTTCTGGCTCTGGGCAAGTTTTTATGTTACCTTCTTTACTTAGGGATTCCAAAATATATTGATATTTGAATTTGCTCCTCACACTTTGATGTCTTGCAGGCTTGGAATTTTTCTTTCTCATAGGTATTTTCTCTCTCCTGAGCTCACACCTTCCACAGCCCCAGTCCAGGGTTGCCACCCTCTTCTTGGCTAGCTGGGGTAGGTGTAGGGTTTTAGTACTTGTTTCATAGACAGAACAGTCCAGACAACTCTTTCGTACATTAAAAGGGGCAAAGTTTCAGCTTGCCACATGCACATATTTTGACTGGACTCACAACCCTGACATAAGGTCTGCCTCTCTCTCTGGTCCAATATCCTATGAGCCTTTCACTTTCAGCTTCTAGCCTCAACTCTGCCTCTTAATTTCCTCATTGTCTTAAGCTTGGTTGTATATTAAATTTTGGGGGGGTATATTTTATTTAGTATTTTTTGTGATTAGAACAGAGGGACAAAAGACACTTTCCTCTCAGTGTGTTGTATTTACCAGACGTCTGATTATATTCATATTTAAACATGTTTTTTATTTGTTCCTTTTGCAGCTAGTTATGTATCAAATCCCATTTGCAAGGGTTGCTTGTCTTGTTCAAAGGATAATGGGTGCAGCCGATGTCAACAGAAGCTGTTCTTCTTTCTTCGACGAGAAGGGATGCGTCAGTATGGAGAGTGCCTGCATTCCTGCCCATCAGGGTACTATGGACATCGAGCCCCAGATATGAACAGATGTGCAAGTGAGCATTTGACTTTTGTCAGTCCTATTTTATTGTTTATGAAATTTAGAAAAGAGCTAAGTTGGAAGTTTTAGCTAAAGAAGTGGTATATTTATAATAAAAAAACAAACAAAAACCCCCCCCAAATCCACTGCTGTTGAGTCAGTTCCAACTCATAGGGACCCCATAGACTTTTCAAGGCGGTAAGTCTTTATGGAAGCAGCTACCACATCTTTCTCCTGCTGAGTCACTGGTGGTTTCAAACTGCTGACCTTCCAGTTCGCAGTTGAGCACTTTAACTACTGCGCCACCAGGTCTAACTATATATTTGCAATAAGTCCCCAAAGTACTCTTAAGTTCAAACTTAAAAAAAAGTGATGGGGTGGGAAAAAGAGGACTTCTATTTTATCACACATACTTTTTTTTAGATTACCAAAATATTTTTTCATAACAAGGATCTCAATTCTAGCAGAAATGAGGGGGATGAATTGGAATAGAATAGAAAGTAGAGGAAGGCTGTTGCAACAATCACTGATTAGAAGTAGTGTCTGATCAAAGGTTTGTGGGTAATGAGTTCCAGAGGCTTTTAAAATAGAATCAGTGAGATTTGGTAACTAACCGCACAAGGAGAAGTGAGACAATCAAATTTGATGCTGAGGATTCTAGCCAAGGGTAGATAGTTATGTTATTAGCAGAGATAGAAATGTATAGGTTTAGAGGAAGTTTGGGTTTTACCATCATTTTATGGAATTGTTTGGATTCACAACTAGAGGGATACAACTCCCAACAAGTGTCAAAAGACTGACTAGTTTTTGCAAATACATATCTTGTCCTTGAGGTGTGTGATTTGGTTAGTAAAAATTAGTGAATTAGTAATTTGTCCCTGTTACTTTATCAAATTTCATACGAGGATAGGGTCCACCTTGAAATGGATTCCTGTTCAGATTAATTTGGACGACCTATGGAGGGATTTGAGTCCATGACTGTCCTGTGCACTTTTCATTCCACATCATCAGTGTGCAAGGAAAATGACACAAGAACGTAGATGACTCAAGGCATATATTCCAAGTTCAAATCCCAGCATTATACATGCTGTATATGGGCAATAGGCTGACCATATGATGTATTATTGCTCAACCTGGAACACTGGGATTTGAAAGGGGCTGCTATTAATAATTATTAAGAGATGTCAAATGTAAGCTAGGATAAAACCAAACTCGTTGCCGTCGAGTTGATTCCAACTCATAGCGACCCTATAGGACAAAGTAGAACTGCCCGGTAGAGCTTCCGAGGAGTGGCTGGTGAATTTGAACTGCTAGCTTTTTGCTGGCCAAGCTCTTAACCACTGTGCCAACTAGGGCCGCGAGCAGAGATTGTCATGGGCAAACTGGAATGGATGGACACCTCAGCTATACCTTAGAGTTTATTGACAAAGTATTCCTTAGAGAGAGCGATAGTCCCAGGAAGGGGTTACCAAGCACGTTTCGGCTGAATTTGATATCTTTTCTCAGAAAGGAAGAGAGCAGTGATTGTAAATCAGCTTTCTAAAGAGAATCTGCACGTGATTGGGTTTATACTCATTGTATAATGGGTTATACTTATTGTAAGTGAATGTAATCAATGTCGTAGTTTACTGACCTAGAAGAAGTCATTATTTACCTGGTACAGCGGGAAGTACTTACTAGCAAGACTCCTATGAAGCAAAGTGCAAGTGGAAAATTATTAATTCTCAGTACATGACTTTGGATTACCATGGTTCTTTCATATTATTTATTTCCCCTTTTTCATATCTGTTTTATACATATTGCATATGTATTACATATTTATACATGTTCCATTCAGAGGATGAGACATTTAAATTGGAAAAGCTGTCATAGAATTTAAAATCATACTCACTTTATTTTCTTAAGATATTATTGCTCAGCAATAGAGAAGAAAACTATACTTCAAGCATCAGTAACTTAAAAAATCCTATAGGTAAAATGTGTTCATCTGTTTTCTGATCATTGAAGTGAGATTGCAATTGTAAAGCAATCTTTCTTCCAAAGGAAGGCTTGATCTATGAAATGTTGGCTGAAGTAGGCTTTTTGGTAAATATAGTATGAAGCTTATGAAATTCAAACGTGTATAAAAATCAATTCAATAACCACTTGAGGCATGCAGTGAGTATGTACACTAACAGACACTAATATTATCCCTGATGCTATATTAGATGATATTTATCTTATATTTTCTCTTTCTGATTCATTGAAAGACTTATTTACATAATAAAGCTTTATTTTTTAAATTGTTGTACATATTCCTTGTTGAATGCTTAGAAAGTACATAGACCTAAAGGACAAACCAAAACCAGCAAAACAAAACAAAACAACAAAAAGTACTCCAAGATAGCAGAAGTTAACATTTTTGGCTTCTGTCCTTGACATTTTGTTTCTATGCATATTTATGTCTTTCCCCCCTTACAAATATGTCATTGTTCCATTGTATAACGTGTTTTAGTTTAATGAGTTATGAACATTTCATGTCATTAGGTACAGCTGCATATGTTCTGCTGAATTGTATGTACCATAATATATTTAGCTAATTACCTGTTGAAATTTTGCTTTTAGTTTATAGAAGTTCTATGAAGAACATCCTTTTTTATACATTCTGTCTTTCTCACAGACACACACACAGATTTTTATACATTTGTCTGATTTACATTCTTAAGATAAACTTTTAAACATAATACTCATTTTAAAGATTTTTGATATATATTGCCAAATGGCCTTCCAGAAAAACTGTAGCAGTTCATTATCTTCACTAATAACATTTTTCCTTGCATCTCACCAACACTGGATATTGTTGATGAAAATCATAAAAATGTATTTTTTGTTTTAATATGCTTTTTTGGATACTAATGAAGTTGAACATTCATCTTTCACATGAATATTGCTATTATAGAATATTTACTAGCATCTCTGGCTTTTTTTTTCTTCTATTTGAACAATGGTCTTGTTCTTAAAAATTAAAAAGAAAATACTTTAAATGAAGTATCACATGCAATTCTAAGTTTATGAGTCATAAACAGAGAACTCAGCGAATTATCCCAAAGTGAACACGCACATAAAAACCACCACCTAGATCAAGAAGGAATGTTAGTCATACGCCAGGAAACTGCATCCGGTTTCCTTCTAATCACTACCCCCTCCTCCCTCAAAATAACTACTGTCTTGACTTGTAATCAGACAGATCTACAAGAATATTCATGAGAGCACTACAACCCAAATGTCCAAACAATAGAATAGCTAAAAAAAAAAAGTGTAGTGTATTAATGAAAGGAAGTATACAGCATTGAGAATGAATGAACTGTAGCAACATAGATGTCTCTCAAAACATAATGATAACTAAAAGAAGCCATAAAAATAACATATACTGATAATTCACTTATGTAATTTTCAATAATAGGCAAAACTAATCTGTGATGCTAGAAGACAGGACTGTGGTTCTTACAGATACACATTTATTGAATACCTACTGTGTGTTAGCTTTGGTACTAGGTACATGGAGATATAATGAGTAATAATTAGGTTTTGCCCTTAAGTTGCTTATGGCCTAGTGCAGTGCTTCTCAACGAAGGGAGATTTTACCGCTTATGTGACATGTCGTGGTATATGGAGACGTTTTTGGTTTTCACAGCTGGTGGGGTGCTCCTGGCATCGAGTGGGTAGAGGCCAAGGATGCTGTGGACAGCTCTTTCAACAAACAGGTATCTGGCCCAAAACATCACCAGTGCTGAAGTTGAGAAACCCTGGTCTAGTGAAAAGACAGACAAATCAACAACTTAATCCAGTCTAGTATGACATACAGGCTGCCGATTATTTAGATTCCATTCCGTTCAAACTATTCTGCTATGTGTACTTTTACTCATTTGATTTTTCAAATAAATGTATAAAGCAGGCTATGCTATTTCTGTTTTATCAGTGAGTTTACTTAAACTGGGTAAAATAAACTTTCTAAAGGTTAGGTTGGGTTGCAGCAATAAAGGAGATGAAACTCATGAAGACCAGTGGAGGTTTTCAGAATGATTAGGATTAGGGGAAAAACAAGCAAAAACTAAACAAACAGGTGAGAAGAATGGAGGCACAAAGCATCATCCATTGTTATGTAAAATGCAGGCCCCATTGCGTAGATTCTGACTCATAGTGACCCTATAGGACAGGGTAGAACTGCCCCATAGGATTTACAAGGCTATAATCTTTACAGAAGCCAACTGCCATATCTTTCTCCCATGGAGCCACTGGTGGGTTCAAACAGCTGACCTTTTGGTTAGCAGCTTGGGTACTTAACCATTTTGCCACAAGGGCTCCTTTTCCCAGTACTACTATCCTGTTGCCATTGAGCTGATTCTGACTCATAGTGACCCTATAGGAGAGGATAGAACTGCCCCATAGGGTTTCCAAGGAGCAGCTGGTGGATTCGAACTGCTGACCTTTTGCTTAGCAGCCAATCTCTTAACCACTGCACCACCAGGGCTGCAATCTTTACAGAAGCAAACTACCACATCTTTCTCCCGCAGAGCACCTGGAGGGTTGGAACAGCCGACCTTCAGGTTAGCAGCTGAGTGCTTTACCACTGTGTCACCAGGGCTCCCCCTCCAGTACTACTAGCGGATATTTATCTGGAGAGGGAAGAGAGGGGCAGACTATATTTTGGGGGGCAGTTTGGATTACTTTATAAAGCTTATAAATTTAGCAAACATTAGATGCTTACCTTTTATATGCTAGGCAGGGGGACTGTGTCTTGTTAGAGAAATAGAAGAATACAATTGAATAAGGACTTTGATAGCAATTACATACTGGGTGTTCAGGGAACCCATAGGGGATCTTAGCTAATCTGCTCTTTGGGGTGGGTGAGTTTTCAGGCTTCCGAAGAGTGTGTTATCTGAAACAGTCCCAAAGGAGGAGCAGGAAGGAATTAGAGCAAGAGGGAAAAAGGGCATGCATAGCAGAGAGTAAACTGAGAGTTGGGGCATAAAGTTT